TTTTTTTAGAACCAAATGTACATAGAATGTTCAAATTTGAGGGTGAATCTTTTTGTATGTTTTGTTCTTATTTGAAATGTATAAAAATTCAGTTATCTATAACTTATTATTGAGCTATTATTCTTAAATATCTGAAAATCACTATTTCAGAAACATTTAAAAGCCCTTGAAATTTAAAATTGATAAATGATTTACCTTAGGGTATACAATGCATCTTTCTGTTAAACTAACTCTTTTTTTATTTTATGTGTATAATCTTAAGGGGTACAGTTTTGTCATATGGATATATTTCCCAGCAGGGAAGTCTGGGTTTTTATGTTACCGTCATCCGAATAATGTATATCCTATCCGTTAAGTAGTTTCCAAACCTTCTTCTCCTCCTAACCTCCTGCTCTTTCAAGTTTTTAATGTCTATTTTTCTACACTTTAATGTGTACACATTATTTAGCTTCCACTTGTAAGTGAGAACATACGGTATTTGACTTTCTGTTTTTGAATGTTTCATTTAAGATAATGGCCTCCAGTTCCATCCAAGTTGTTGCAAATACATGATTTCACTCTTTTCTATAGCTGAATGTATTCCATTGTATACACTTACTGCATTTTCTTTATCCATTCATCTGTTAATGGACACTTAGGTTGATTCCAAATCTTTGCTATTGTGAATAGGGCTGCAATAAACATACAAATACAGATATCTTTTTAATATAATGATTTATTTTCTTTTGGGTATATACCTAGTAGAGGGATTGCTGGATCAAATGGTAGTTTTATTTTTAGTCTTTGAGCAATCTCCATACTGTTTTCCATAGAGGTTGTACTAATTTACCTCCCACCAACAGTGTATAAGTCCTTTTTCTCTGTATGCTCACCAACAACTGTTTCACTTTTTAATAACAGCCATTCTGACTGGTGTAAGATGATAACTCATTGTGATTTTAATTCACATTTCTCTGATGCTTAGTGATGGTGAGCATTTTTTTATATGCTTGGTTGCCATCTGTATATCTTCTATTGAAAAATGTCTATTCATGTCTTTTGCACACTTTTTAAAGTGGTTATTTGGTTTTTGTTGTTGTTTGAGTTCTTTGTAAATTCTAGATATGAGTTTCCTGTTGGATGAATAATTTGCAAATATTTTCTCCCATTCTGCAGGTTGTTCACTTTATTGATTATTTCTTTTGCTGTGTAGGAGCTTTTAAGTTTAATTAGGTCCAATTTGTCTATTTTTGTTTTTGTTGCTTATGCTTTGAGGTCTTAGTCACATTTTCTTTGCCTAGACCAATGTCCAGAAGAGTTTTACCTAGGTTTTCTTCTAGTATCTTTATAGTTTCAGGTCCTACATTTAAGTTGTTAATCCATTTTGAGTTGATTTTTCTATATGGTGAGATATAGGAGTCCAGTTTCATTCTTCTGCATATGGCAATTCAGTTTTCCCAGTACCATTTATTGAAAAGCATGTCCTTTCCCAAGTGTATGTTTTTCTCTTTTTAATTTGTCAAAGATCAGTTGGCTGTAGATATGTGCCCTTATTTCTGGGTTCTCTATTCTCTATTCTGCTATATTTAATAAATGAATTTAGCAAAGTTTCAGGATATAAAATCATTGTATAAAAATCAGTAGCATTTCTATACATCAATAATAGTCAAGCTGAGAACTAAATCAATACGGCAATCTCATTTATGATAGCTACAAAAAATTAAATAAAATGCCTAGGAATCTATTTAACGAAGGAGGTGAAAGATCTCTACAAGGAAAAGTACAAAACACTGATGAAAGGTATTGAAAATTACAGAAAAAAATGGAGAAGCATCCTGTGCTCATGGATCGGAAGAATCAATATTGTTAAAGTGACCATACTGCCCAAAGCAATCTACAGAGTCAGTACAATCCCTATCAAAGTACCAACATCATTCTTTGCAGAATTAGAAAAAACATTCCTAAAATTCATATGGAACCAAAAAGAAAGAAAGAAAGAAAAAAGAAAAAAAGTCTGAATAGCCAAAGCAAATATAAGGAAAAAGAGCAAAGCTAGAGGCATCACATTACCTGACCTCAGCTTATACTACAAGGCTATATAGTAACCAAAACAGCCTGTTACTGGTATAAAAATAAGACACTTAGATCCATACAACAGTAGTATGTAGTATGTAGATGTAGTATTTTTAAGGAAAGAGAGGAATAAACTAGCTAGAGATATTCTTACATTCCCTAGCCATAGTCCTGCTTCCAACCATGGCATGAACTCTCAACAATCGCCAGCACACCATGGGGAGAGCCATTCTAGAATTGTTTGATTGGCTTCTCCAGGAAAATTCTTCTTGTGGTTAAACACACATCAGCAGGATTGTTGCCTTATCACAGGGTGGGCCTCCCCTCATGGA